AAACATTGTAACAGACCCTCACAGCTTCAAGGGGAGCCTTGTTTGCACGGAGAGGGCCCTAACACCCAGCCCGCTTCTTTCATAACCCTGACCGTTTTGTAAACACCCCTCTGCGACCCTAAACCCTAAGCCCTAAACCCTTGCAGGCCTGTCACTCCTCCCTCCCGAAAACCCTAATCCTGAGACCCTAAACCTTCTCCATGATCTCAACCTCCGTTGAGTTCAGAGCGCTTCTTAAAAGTCTTATCACCGCGTAAGGAACACGGCTTGATTTTGGCCTGGGTGGGGCTTCGGGCTTGAGGGCTTCAGGGTCTAGGGTGTAGGGTTCACGGTTTCATACAACCCCAATAAAACCTCCAATGAACCTGTACAAGTGTGATATTGCAAACTCTGCAGCACCCTGGTCGTTACAAGTGGGGTTTTAAGTAGAGTTATGACCTAAACTAGGGGATTTAGAATCCCACTTACAACCACCCAGGGGTCTCCGAGAACTGGCAGACGCTATTAGGCAAAGCTCGGGCCTCCTTCTTGTCTTTGTTCTTCTTGTCTTTGTCCTGGCAGACCCGCGCGGGTTGCTGTAGAGGTTGCAAGGAGGGTTACTATAAGGGTATCTTCATGGGTTCAGGGCTTCGGTTGTGGGTTTAGGGTTTTGGGTTTAGGGTTTAGGGTTTAGGGTTTAGGGTTTAGGGTTTAGGGTTGTAGGTTTGAGGTGTGGGGTCTGGGTTTCAGGGTTCAGAGTGCAAGGTGCGGGATGTAGGCCTGGGATTGGGGCTTGAGAGGGCGCGTGATTTGGAGGCCTCTTAGCCATAATGCAGGGTATGTAATTGAAGCAATCGGTAACTATACCTAAACTCTAAACCCTAAACCCTCGGTAATCGGGAACTATACCTGTAACTTATAGCTCCGGGGTTTAGGGCTTTCGTGTTTTAGGGCTTTAGGTTTAGGGTACAGTGCTGGGCTGCGCATCGGTCCGAGCCCCAGAGAGTTGTCAAGGAGTTGGCTGGCAGCCACGACAGAAGCAAGAAGTTGCTAACAGCTTTGAGGGTGTCCAGGGTTTAGGGTTTCGGATTGCAGGATCTAGGGTCTGAGTCTTGTTTCCAGGGTTTAGGGCCTTGTCGCTTAGCTTAGGCTGCAAGAGAGTTGGCAGTGATTGCGAGCAGTCCTTACAAAAGAACAGGATTACTTCGCTGACCCGCAAAAAGGGGAACCCCAACTTAGGAAAACCCCCAAATCCTAAACTCGGGTCGCACCTAGCAGTTGGGTTTAGGTTGTGGTAGTGAGCCCTCACTCCTAAACCCCTGTTCTAATCCACTTGCAGGCCTTATCCTTGGACCACGACAGTCTCCGACCAAACTGGCCGTGGTTCTTGATGATGATCTGCCCGGGTGCTGGGTAGGCTCAGGGTGAAGTAGATGGGCCTTCATAACTAGACTAACCAGAATATTATGTTTCTGGGGCACATTAGAGTATGATGACAATGAAAGCCCCAGGGCATGGCATTGCTGATTGATCAGGGTTTTCGCAAGTATGCTGAACCCATCTCCGACTCCTCCATCTACCGTTTAGGAGGGCTGTCACGGTGCCGGGATGTGGTGGGTGATATCAGTGCCCCCTATACGAAACACACCAAAGTCCGAAGAGATGAACAAAAAAGACTTGCAGACACGTGGAAGCAGTGCCAAACATCAGCTGGAGCGAGACGAAGGCTTTCACTAAGGCAACTAATTACAATGTTTTGACCCGTGCATGCAGATGCGTTTGCTATGGACGTCGGATCTTTATACCCTAGATAACATCCGGAACCCCAAAGAGACTCACTGACCCTCTTGAGCCGTTCCCGTTTACAGGCTTTCCATGGACCTCTGCGCGAAGAACTTCCTGCCTATGGGCCCATGTGTAAAAGTTGCTTGTCGTCTGAAGCGCCCTTCCAGGAAGTGCAGTGATTGTTGGCATGCGGTTCGCCGGTTGTGAGTAGGCGATAGTCGAAATACCGGAAGAAACTGGAGTAAGAATGCCATTGATAGGCAACTTTCCGGAATCCACGTTGCAAAGCTCAGGGTTTCGGGGCTGGGGGAACCCATGGAAAACGCGAACAAAGCGTCCTGCAAGTAGAAGCACATACAGCATCATGCTTGAAGTTGCCACAAATCAAAATACAGATGCAATTCCACAAGCTCGCCGGAATCCGCAGACCTGAAACCCTAGACCCCAAACCTTAAACCTTAAGCCCTTCATGAATCCCTAAACCCTAAACCCTAAACCCTAAACCCCCAACCCCGAACCTAAAAACCAAAAACATCCTATCCCCAGCCTCGGTTCGTTCAAGGCTGAAGCTGAAGTGTCCACTTCCAGCTACTTGTTGAAGGTTCATGGGTAGTTATAAGTGGAGTTATAAGTCCCCTAATATAGGTTATAATTATAGTTACCCTACTTATTAACCCGACTTATAACTACCCATGAACCTCCAAGTACGGGCTGAAGCTTCAGGGTAGACGAGGGCTTAGGGTTTAGGGTTTAGGGTTTAGGTGTTTACCGTTTAGGGTTTAGGTGTTTAGGTGTTTAGGGTTCAGGGTTCAGGGTTTAGGGAGGGTGGAGGTGTTTAGGGTTTAGTGTACAAGAGGGTGTTGGGGTTCACGGGAAGTGTGGGGGGTAATTGCAAAAAATTCTCCTACCCAGAAAAAAGTCTTAACCCCTTAGGCCCTGAACAACAACTTGAAAGCCCAAACCCTAAACCCTAAACCCTAAACCTCTAAAGTCTACACTCCTTCCGCAGCCTCACGGCAGCAGGTCTGCGTCGTGAAGTGCGTGCCAAAGTCGAGGAAGTCCAGCTCCTGAAGTTTTGCTTGGGATTCAAAGCGTAGGTTTCTGCCTAAACCCTACACCCTACACCCCAAACCCTAAATCCTAAACCCTAAACCCTAAATCCTAAAGGGAATTGGGGGTTGTAAGGCTAAGGGGCACGCCAAGCCTCGTGCACAAAGCCGAAACCTTAGCCAGGTTTAAGGATTTAGGGGTTCAAAGGTTTAGGGTTTTAGTAAGGGTGCAGGGTTTTGAGGTCTAGCATGTCGTAAAGGTTAAGCATTAGGGTGCAGGAGGGTTTTAGGTTTGGTAAGGGTTGAGGGTGTTTAAGGTCTCGGGGTGTGGGTTTTGGGCGGTTTAAAGCTTAGGGTTTAGCATGGGTTTAGCATTTAGGGTCAAGGACCAAAGCGAGACACCCCGAATATACATGCAGCAAACTTTTCGGGGAGCCCCACATACACTCAACCCTCAAGCTGAAGCCCTACAGCGATAAGAACACCCGAGCACGGGTGACCATTCATCGTAACAAGAAGAGTAACAACAGCAGTCATAATGGTAGAAAAACCATGCAACAATCAATATCGACACTGGGTGATGAGGAATTCAAATCACAGGTTCAGACCACGGCCGGTAGTAGCCGGTTCGCGCCGGTTGTTGGGTTCTGAACAAGCCCTCAAGTTTAGGGTTAAGGGCTCTAGGGTTTAGGGGCTTAGGGTTTACGGGTTTAGGGTTACAGGCGTCAGTAGAGTTCATGGCGCATCTGCAAGTATGAATACCTACAGCCCCTAATTGACTAAGCTCGCTCCAAGGTATCAATATCGAAAATTTCTACCGATAGACCTAGCTTCAGTACCTAAACCATAGCATCCAAACCGTAAACCCTCTCAGCCCCCAGGACATGTTAGCCCTAAGCCCTAAACCCTAAACCCTTTTCTATCTAAGAAGCACAAAGTCAAAACCACCTCACCTCCTCACAGGTGACCGGTGTGTCGGCAGCAGTCGCTCCACCTTTGCCTCGCACCTGACATTCCACTACGCAAAAGGACCGTTCAGACTTCTTAGGAACAAGTGTTCAGGATGCATGGGTGTCGTCTTTCTGTTTTCGCTTTAGGGGCGGAGGTGGAGTGGGCGAATTTGGTGTGACCGGGTGAGCATTGCGGCGTTTCAAAACATGTTGCAGCGGGGGTTCGCTGCCACAATGTAAACAAAACCGGCTAACTACGACTGACACCGACTGCCAACTGATCAATAACGCCGTGACAACACTGGCTCACGCAAAATGTTGGCTCAAGCCACCGTGTGTGTTCAGCTGCAGGCTATCCCACCGGGCTTCTAGACGAAGCAGCTGAGCATCGCATGTCCCAGCCGCCTCAATCATACCAGCCAAAATGATTCGCCCACATCATATTGAAGACCACATTGCAGCTAGCTAGGATCTTCATGTCCGGATTAAAACACGAAAACTCTGATCCCTAAACCCGAAAAACCCCTAAACCCTAAAGCACTAAACCCTGGACGAAAACCTGAAACCCAAAGTCCTACAACCTGAAGAAGACTTTCTTCATGGCTCCACATACGAAAAGCCCCGCCACCCCCGAAAGCCGCTGCCAAACACCGAAGGACAGCCGAAGCCCCTGATCCTGTTTCGGTGCCTAACAATTCGAATAGGGTTTGGGGGGTATGTAATAATGTAATCATAATAAGGAATCCCCAAAATAGTATAGGTAATTATTAAGGCCCCTACAATATCCCAAAAACCCTAAACCCTAAACCTGAGAGGATCCGGTTGTGCATGTGGCCTAAGAACTAGAGTTACTTGAAGCTCACCTTGGGCTTGGTAGCTATGCGGAAACGAGGACCCTTCGGTTTAGGGTTAGGGTTTAGGGTTTAGGGTTCATCTTCTTGAAAGCTTGGGCAAACAAGGGTCCGTGGCTTGGGTGTACCACAATTGCCCAGTAGTAGAATCAGGATGCGGGGCTCTTTGTACAGTCGCTCTGCAGGATTAATTAGTTGGCCTCCGGAACCCTAAACCCTAATAACCCTAATCACCCTAAACCGCTAATAGCCCTAATAACCCTAGACCCTAATAACCTGAAACCCCTAAACCCCAAGTCCTGGAGCCCTGCAGAACCGCAAACCCCTGACACCCGTTTAGGGTTTAGGGTTTTTGTTTTGAGGGTTTAGGGTTTAGGGTTTTTAAGGGGTTTAGGGTTTAGGGTTTAGGGCAGAACACTTCTTAAGCCGTTTAGGAACCGTTATAGATGTGTAGCACTGAAGCCATCCCGTCCCTTCCTTGCTCCAACTTCGTGCTCTCTACCAATTCCTGAAGCATAACTAGATGGAAAGTTTTCAAAATTAGGGGCCCTTTTAGGGTCTTTTTTTATAAGGGTGCCGTACTATACCGGGGACCCAAAAAGGGACCCTAATTTAGAGACTTATCTAAATGTCAATGCCTGGACAGTCAAATCGTCACCCTCGGCCACGATGAGATTCAATGTGTCCTCACAAGGCTTGTCGGGTTGGGTGGTTGCGAAAGTTCGTACCTCAAGACCCCAACCCTGAAACCTCCTGTACAGGGCTGGCTTCTCACTGACCGAAAACCCAAATGTCCAGGCAGGGCTGAGGATTAAATGCCCTGTGTAAGGATTGGGGTTTCGGCTCCCTAATGACCCTAAACCCTACACCCTAGACCCCTAAACCCTAATAACCCCAATAACCCTAATAACCCTAATGACCCTAGTAACCCTAATAACCCTAATAACCCTAATGACCCCAATAACCCGAATAACCCTAATAACCCTGATAACCCTAATAACCCTAAACCCAAACAACCCTAAGCCCTAATAGCCCGCAGCAGCTAGACCTCGAGGTTCGGGGTCGAGGAAGACCCCAAAACTCTAGAGCCTGCGGAGCCCCGAAGAACCAGCTATCCCTGGACCCTAAACTCACCCATGATGTAGGGGCCTGAATAATTAAAGGAAACTGCAAGTGGGGAGTTTACGGTAAAAAGGGCTTCTATAAGAATTCTACAAGGCATATAGACCTTCTATAAGCTCCTAAACGGCAACTACCCACCTGACATGTCCTAGAAATAGTTAGAATGAGGTTTTGGGGGTTCCTTATTATAATATATAATATAATATACCCCAAAACCCTTTCCTAATCATTAAGGCCCCTACATTCGCCGCAGCCCTAAGCCTAAACCCTGAACCCGAAACTGCCAGAAACCGCAATCCTAATCCCTAAGCCCTCCTTCCGAAACCCCTGGACCCCAAATAAGACCGCTTAAAGGAGCCCTAAGCCCTACAAAATCCCTAGACTCTGAAAAGTAATCGGACCTCTAATCCCTAAACCCTCCTTCCGACGCTCCCGAACCCCAGTAAGACCCCTTGAAGGAGCCCAAAACTCCGAACGCAATCGGCCCCCCCAAAGGAACCCCCCCAGAGACTCCCAAACCCCTTTAATTAAGGAATAGAGCTTGAAATTCATACTAGGACCCCTACTTTTGCTTAAGGTATATAATTCCCTAAAGGAAAAACGGTTTTGGAGGACCCCTACTTTTGCTTACTGTATACAATTCCCCAAAAGAAAAAGGGCTTTGTAGGACCCAAACTTTTGCTTAAGGTATATAATTCCCTAAAAGAAAAAGGGTTTTGTAGGACCCCTACTTTTGTTTAAAGTATACAATTCCCTAAACGAGAAACGGTTTTGTAGGACCCCTACTTTTGTTTAAGGTATATGATTCCCTAAAAGAGAAAGGGCTTTGTAGGACCCCTGCTTTTGTTTAAGGTATATGGGGGTTTCCGAAAATAGGGGACCCTAATATAGTACCCTAAATAGTAGGATCCTTATTATAAGTACCCCAAAATAAAGTACCCTAATTTTCGGAAACCCCCATCTAATTCCCTAAAAGAGAAAGGGTTTTGGAGTCTCTGGGCTCGCTAAACTCAGAACTTCCCGGACTCCAAGAAGACCCCTTGAAGGAGCCCTGCAACCGGACCCCTTAAAGGAACCCTCCCCAAACTTGGGGTTTAGGGTTTAGGGCTTGGGGCTTAGGGTTTAGGGATGTTT